ATACTTTTCTAGCATGAGCTTGAGATTAGTGAAACCTTAATCATGATCCAATCTCATCCCACTACCTCTAATCCCTATTTACCTTAATACTTGTGGAAAAACATGTTTATCGACTAGGGTCAGACGTCTCTGTTGCCGGTCATTCGTTCGCGCCTACTGTTTCTGCCACGATCCATCGCTGGTTTCCTATTCTCCAAGGTCGTCCGACTTACTTGGTGTGGGGCAAACGTATGACCGTCCGGGCACAGTATATTAAAATTAGCAAGGCCCAATGCCTACTTAAAGACAGGAGCCCAAAGTGAGGAGGCCCACGACTCAATAGCCAAAAGATGCGCTAGAGTCTTCCAGAATCAAAAGACCTCTGCAGAAAGGCACACTTGGCTGATCAGCGAATGAGAGCACATGCTTGAAGACTCCATGGCAGCAGCGAAGGGCGACGTCTAGAAAAAGAAAAGGAAAAGCATTGATCGTGTTGTTGGGTTCATCAAAAGGTAAGAAAGCTTTTTAATCATTGTGAGAAATATGTATATTGCATATTATTTTTGTTACAATAGAGAGAAGGGGAACCCTGAATATTTATAGGGTTCCTGCAAGGTGAGAAGAGAGAATCGGGATTCATAAATCCCTAACCGAAAATAGTTATAAAACATAAAACCTAACAACCAGAAAAACCGAAACCACAATACCCACCCCTCAAGCTGGATGGTGAATATTCATTAATCTAAGCTTGGGAATGATAGTTTTAAATTGTGTGCGGTGAGGAAATTTGGTGAATACATCAACGAGTTATTCTTTGAAACGAACGGGAAGGAGACGCAAAAGTTGAGCTTGAATCTTCTCACGTACCACATGACAGTCCAACTCTATGTGCTTGGTCCGCGTATGGAAGCTCTGGTTGTGAGCGATGTGCCTTGCAGAGTTGTTGTCACAATAGAGGACTGCGGTAGCAATAGGCTGAACCTGAAGATAGTGAAGCCACTGTATTTCACAAACAGTGACAGCAAGGGCTCGATACTCAGCTTTTGTAGAGACCGAGAGACAGTACTTTGCTTCTTAGATCTCCATGATACAAGGGAGGAACCCAGAAATATGCAATACCCAATGGTAGATCTCCTCGTGTAAGGGCAGGTAGCCCAATCTGAATCACTAAAGCCTTTGATTTGAACATCAGAGTTGGCAGCAAAGAAAAGCCCTTCTGAGGAACTAGATTTGACGTATCTAAGGACGTGCTGCAAAGCCTGATAATGATAGTTAGTAGGTTTCTGCATAAATTGACTCAAAAGGTTAACAGTAAAGCACAAATTGGGTCTAGTATCAGTAAGGTAGAAGAGCTTCCCTATCAATCTACGGTATGCACTAGGATCATCAAGATAGTTCTCATCCTTGTATAGAGAAATGGCTTGCTTCCCATCATTCTTGTTTCTTCTAGGATATCTCTGGCAAAGGTATACATTTCTTGGACCTAGCAACCTCAAATCCTAAAAAGTATTTGAGTTCTCCCAGATCTTTAATCTGAAATTGATGATGCAGGAGAGTCTTTATGTGATTAATCTCACTCATAGAATTTCCTGTCAGAACAATGTCATCTACATACACAATTAGGGCTGTGAAATCTGTTGAAGTACTTTTGATACAAAGAGAGTGGTCAGAACTAGATTGAATATAATCAGCAGAAATAAGAAAAGTACATAGTTTGTCAAAGCATTGTCTGTTGGCCTATTTTAGGCCATGGAGAGATTTAGTCAATTTGCAAACCTGTCCCTTAGTGTCTGTATTCAAGCCAGGAGGAGGATCCATGTAAACATCCTCATTTAGGTCCCCATGCAAAAAAGCGTTATCCACATACAGCTGATGCAAAAACCAGTTCTTTGAGGCAGCAAGAGCAATAAGCAATCTGACAAAAGTAAGTTTAGCAACAGGGGAAAAGGTATCCAAAAAATCTATTCCCTCTTGCTGGGTCTACCCTTTGGCAACCAATCTGGCCTTATACCTTTCCATAGTACCATCAACCTTATATTTGATTTTGTAAACCCATTTACACCCAATGGGTTTCTTTCCAGGAGGAAGTTGGGTTAAAACCCATGTACCATTGTCTTGCAGAGCCTTGATTTCCCTCTGCATAGCATTCGTCCATTCAGCACTGTTTTTAGCCTCATTATAGGAGTTGGGTTCTTTGCTAGCAGTTATGGCTAAGGTGTACTTTAACTGTTTATCAAATAAGGATTCATAAGATAGAACACTAGTGATAGGATAAGGGCTTTTCAAACCATTTTTGATGCACAGAGAGGTGAATGATGACTGGTCATCCTGATGTATGTAATCTTTTAAATATTCAGGAGTTCTTTTAACTCTGTTTGACCTCCTCTAATTGTGAAGATCTTCCTCTTCTGTGAGATTGGCATTATTTGGATTGACATTAGTGTTCTGAGCATGGATTTGGTCATTTCTTTTATTTTCAACCAAGCTCTTCTCATAGCTGCAAGATAGATCATCAAGAAAGGGTATATTGTCTTGACTACCATCAAAATTAGCCTTATTGCTTTGTTCATTTTTGTAGGGAAAAATATCCTCATAAAAGATAACATTTCTACTTATAAAAATTTCCGTAGTATTGATCTCAAGAACGATGTACCCCTTTACTCCATTTTTATAGCCTAGAAAAACACCCTTTCTAGCTCTAGAGTCAAATTTATTTCTATTAGGTTTAATAGCCAATTTTGTCTCTAGTTTCGTTGACAAATCTCAATTTAGTCCCTCATTTTAAAAGTGTTTAAAATGGATTCTCACTTTTAAAATTTTGAGTCAAATTAGTCCCTTCCGTTAAATAGAAACAAACGGCGTTAAGGGTTTGATGATTTGGTAGAAGACATGTTATTTTATAGATATATTTATGCTAACGTGTTAGTGAATGGGTGCAAAGATGAAATTTAGAGGTGCACTTGATATTTTCTAGGCGAGGCCCAAGCCCTCTAGGGTTTCTTTTCTTTTCTTCTTCAGAAACGAAGTCTCTTCTCCACCTCAGCAGCTCTGCCCTCCGCGCATCGTCGTGTCTTCTTCTGGACGACCAAAACTGTAGTTGGTGGCACCGATCTTTGCCAGAGACACCGCCAGCCACTACAGCGTTCTTCCCTCCGTGCGCACTTGATGACGTCATTGTCGCTACCATTAGGTTCCAGTGTAAAGGTAAGGGATTTCGCCCCCTCTGTCCCCCATTTTCTCGTCATCCACCACAGCTTGAACCGGAAGCACGCCATGAATGTCACATCCCTCAAGGTTCCCAACGAAACCACGTGTCTGCTATCTTCCTTCTCCATATCCAGTCCCAGAAACATTCCTTCTACTGTGGATGTCTCCACCACGTTCTCCTGTATTCTTGTCAGAATCGTTCGCTCCTTCACCACCAACTTCCCCTCCGAAACGCGAACAACAGGTTTTATCGTCATCTCTTCAGCTCCCTCTACGCTCCTCTGTAATTAAATCAAACCAATTTTTCATCTGTCCAATGAAACTAAAATGAAATTTTGAATTTAGGGGTTTTATTAATCAATACCTTGAATGACACCACTGGAAACACTCGATTAAAAAAATGTCTGCAAATTCAAAAACATGGAGATGGAAACCATTGTCGTTAGCAACATAAAAAAAACGACTGGATAAATAAAATGAAACAAAAAAGACAATATTAAGATGATGATGATGAGGGGTCTTTACTCTTTCACAGTCAACTTCTAATTCACTAACACGTCAGCACAAATATATTTATAAAATAACATGTTAGCATTGTTTTCTACCAAATCATATAATCCTTAACGTTGTTTGTTTATATTTAACGGAAGGGACTAATTTGACTCAAAATTTTAAAAGTGAGAATCTATTTCAAACACTTTTAAAACGAGAGACTAAATTGAGATTTGTCAACGAAACTGGGGACAAAATTAGCTATTAAACCTTTCTATTATTTTCCAAAGTAGAGGCAAAAAACAAGCACCCAAAGACTTTCAGATTAAGATAAGTGGGTGGACTACTGTGTAAAATATCATAGGGAGTTTTGTCTTTAATAACAGGAGAGGGGAGCCTATTTATTAAGTATATAGCATTAGATAAGGCATATGACCAATAAACATAGGGAATACTAGACTGGAAAAGTAAGCTACGAGTAACATTTAATGTATGTTGATGCTTACATTCCACAACAGAGTTTTGTTGTGGGGTTTCAACACAGCTTCTTTGATGCTCAATGCCATACAAGTTATATATGTTGGAACAATTGAATTCTGGTCCATTATCAGTTCTAATGACCTTAATATCTTTATTAAATTGAGTCTTGATCTTTATAATAAACACTTGTAGTAATTCTCTAGCCTGAATCTTATTGTACATAAGAAAAGCCCAAGTATGTCTACTACAATCATCAACAATTGTGAGAAAATACTTGTGTCTGTGGACGGAAGGAATGGAGATGGGCCCCCATATATCACAATGTATGATATCAAAATAATTAGCAGATACAGAGTTACTTTTAGGAAAAGGTAGTTTGTGTTGTTTGGCATAGTGACAGATATCACAAGTATCATTAGAAACAGTTTGAACATAAAGAAAATTCTTGCATATTTTCTCAACAGTTTTGTGTCCAGGATGGCCTAGTCTATAATGCCACAAGTTTATATTTACATGTTCATAAGACAAAGCAAAGCTAGGTGTGAGATTTCTTCCAAAGGATTGTAGGTAGTAAAGCCCTTTGTAGACATTAGCACATCTAATCATCTTCAATGTGGAGTTGTCCTGAATCTGACACATCTTAGAGGAAAAAGTTAGAGTGCAATTTATATCTTTGGTCAAGCTTTGAACGGATATGAGATTAAAGGTAAATTCAGGAATATACAAAACGTTAAAAATAGTGAAATGTTTGGAAAACTGTACAGTTCCTGCATAGTGGGCTGTAAAGTGGAATTGTTTGGTAATTTTACAGATATAGGGCTTATTTTATAAAAAGTAATGAACTACTCTTTGTCATGGGTCACATGATCAGTGACCCTTGTATCTATGATCCAAGAAAACAAACCTTGTCTGTCCAGTGCAGCATCTTTATGTATTTGGCTAATGTTGTGAGCAGGACTATCAATTTTTTCTATAATCTGCAAAATTTTCTTCATCTGTTCTGGGGTAAGAGAATTCTTAACAACATTGTCGTTGTTCTGTTGGCTGGTTTGTGTCTCAACCGAGGCAGTGTAGGCACTGGCAGATCCCCAATTACTCTGTCCAATCTTTTCTTGAATATTATTCCAAAATTGGGATTTCTTCCTCTCCCTCTCCCTTGGCTGCAAGCTCCATAACCACGTCTAGTAGCCTTCTAGTTTTGTTCATTCTTCCATTAACTCTGTCTTTCAGTAGTATTTGCCAAAACCTTGATCTCATTCTGATTAGTAAGGCCATATTCATGTTTTCCTTGCCTTTCTTGCTGCATAATAAGAGAAAAGACACGGTTGATGTTGGGTAAAGGCTCCATCAATAATATTTGTGTTCTCACAGTGTTGTAGCATTCATTTAGACCTTTTAAGAAACAAATAACATGTTCCATTTCTCTGTATTTGTGAAAAGCTTTGGACAAATCAACACTGCAAGGGATGTTGCAGCTACAACGTGGAATGGGCCTAAGAAATTCCAACTCTTCCCATAGGATTTTCAAATCTGTGAAAAATTGACTCACACTCCTTTCTCCTTGTCTGATAGAGTGTATTTCTTGAAGTAAATCTGAAAATTTGAAGTGATCACCTTTGGAAAATCTTTCCTTTAACTCTTCCCATAATTCTTGAGCATCTTCCAAGTACATGACACTTTCTGCAATTTGGGGTGAGAGAGTCTTCATGATCCAAGATTGCACCATCATGTTGCTCCTTTCCCAAGAATCAAAAAAAAGGGTCCTCTTTGTGCTCTTCTCATACTTCTACTCCAAGAAGTATAATTGGATTCATTTAGAACTTGTGAAATAAGGGAGATACCTGAGTTTTCTCCAGGATGAAGATATAAGGGACTGGAAGGGTTATTAAGTTGTTCAACGTTCTCCATGATGGCAAGAAGAACCAGAGACAGATTCAATGTCAAGAAACCATGGAAATTAAGCACAGCGGAGGTAGGGGCAGAACAGGTACAGGACTTGCTCTGGTACCATATTAAAATAAGCAAGGCCCAATGCCTACTTAAAGACAGGAGCCCAAAGTGAGGAGGCCCACGACTCAATAGCCAAAAGATGCAATGGAGTCTTCCAGAATCAAAAGACCTCTACAGAAAGGCACACTTGGTTGATCAGCGAACAAGAGCACATACGTGAAGACTCCATGGCAGCAATGAAGGTCGACGTCTGGAAAAAGAAAAGGAAAAGCATCAATCGTGTTGCTGGGTTCATCAAAAGGTAAGAACGCTTTTTAATCATTGTGAGAAATCTGTATATTGCATATTATTTTTCTTATAATAGAGAGAAGGGGAACCCTGAATATTTATAGGGTTCCTGCAAGGTAAGAAGAGAGAATCGGGATTCATAAATCCCTAACCGAAAACAGTTATAAAACCTAAAACCTAACAATCAGAAAAACTGAAACCACAATACAGTACACTAAGGTTTGAGAAGAAAAGTGTGTGTCGACTTTTTAATTCTTTTATTTTTTTCTCATCCCAAAGTTGAAAACTCATTCTCTTTGAAATGGCTAAACCTTCAGCAAAGATCTTTAGACAAACCCTAGATAGGGAAATTGATAGAATTGATAGACTCAGTGTCCTTCCAAAATTTGTTCTTATGCATATTCTTTCATGCTTGGAATTCAAAGAAGTTGCAATCACCTTAGGTTTATTCACAACCTAGAGAGACCTTTTCTTTACAACTTTTCGATATTCTGTTAACTTGTAATATCAATGAAAATCCTTCTTACCATTTTACACAAAGTAAATATGATTCTTCTTTGTTCATTCATTGTACACTTACAGACTATAACAACAATAAGAGTGACCTTTTGCTTGATCCTTTATTATAACAACAACTAATGGTTAGTCTTAATTACTTAATCATTACATGCCTAGTCATCTCATTTGTTATTCAACGAGTCAACTCATACACTTTCCTTGCCATCTCATTACATGCCTAGTCAACTCATTTGTTATTCAACGAGTCAACTCATACATTTTCCTTGCCATCTCCACTTGGCAGCAGTTCGTCGCATAATTGTTATTTCAATGGTACCTCTTAGTGAGGTTTATTTTGTCCCATTTCCACCTCTTAAATTAATTGCTTATAGTGATGTTGAGTAAGTTGGTTGTCCTGACACTCACCAATCAATGACTGGTTAGTGTATGTTTCTAGGTTCTTCATTGATATCGTGGAAAAGTAAGAAGCAACCACGTATATCTAAATCCTCTAATGAATATAACTATTGTGTCATGTCTATTGCTTATTCTAAAAGAATTTGTCTTTGTGGTCGTTTGACTGAACCTAGGTTCTCTCAACACAGTCCAACACCTCTTTATGTTGACAATACAAGTGTCAAGCATTTTTCATGACAGGACCTTCATACTCAAATAATATAAGCAAAAAAATAAGCAAAAATTATAGTTGATGAAGGAGGTGATTGTAAATGAAGAACATGAATATGGATGACAAAGATGAGTATGAATGAAGGAGATGAAGAGAAGAATATGGATGTAGGAGATGAGGAAAAAAATGTATATGAAGGAGATGTGATGACTTGGGCCCAAGGCCAAGTATCTATTTTAGTAATTCTTGTATTTTTATAAACATGTGTAAAATGTGTTAGGTTGTGGTAGACATAGGTGGGACTTTCATCCCTATAAAAGCATGTCAACACCTTGTGTAAGAGAACTTTTGAAATAATGAGAATTCAGTATTTGTATAACTCCAGAATTCAATTCCACCTTTAAAGTCAACGCTAGAGAATCCAAGGTATCTCTTCTAGCCACCTTTCACTCACATCTATCATTCCTTCATTTTCCACCTTCAGTTTATCATTCCTCCCCCAAAGCATCCAACTTCTAATCTGCTTTAGATGTGTGGCGCGTGCGTCAGCATCCCCCGTCAACCACATTTCCTCTCAAAGTCGCGCCATCATTTCGCATTACAATTCATTCTCGATCTCAACCTTGACACTTGTCTCGCTGCCTTTGGAGACATCTTCCCCTCCAAACCCTCACTTCAATACATTAGCGCAATATCACATTCTCTTCTCCAGTCTTCGCGTTACCAACTGGGAAAACCTATTCCATTAGGTTTTCCATCAAATCTACCGATTAAAGCCTTGTTTAGTGCCATTTTGTCATTTTCACCATCGTTTCTTCCTTTTGACCTTCGATCTACATTTTTCACCGATTAACCATCTTTTCCACCCTTTATTTTGTCTCCTACCACCAAATTTCCAACCTCTACCTTGAACCTAGGGTTCATAGTGCATTCCTCTTCCATAACGCTCTCTGGTTTATGAGTGAAAGTGTCGAGCCTTATGCAAGTTGTAATTTTGTTGCGTCAGTTTTTCGCTACCTTGTGTTGCACCTAATTCCATGGATGAGAGATTTGAGTGTGAAGAGATTTATGAATGTGAAAAAAAAAGATCTACGATGAAATATATGAATGTGAAGAGATTTATGATTATGAATGAAGAAGATTGTGATGAAATTTATATAGAAAGTGAGAAAAGAAAATAATGAATAAGGAGATAAATAATCTTTAAATTTAGGCCTTTAGATTAAAAATAATTTGTGAATCGTATTTAATATGAAATTGAGTACAAATATAGAGTAGTCGATTCTATCTTAAATAAGTATAAATATTAATGATGAATAAGGTTAGCATTTATTCAACCCACACTAATCTTATTTGTTTTATTTATTTATAGTTAATGTCCACTAAGTTATTAAAATAATAAAAATAAATAAGGTTAGCCTTTACTATGTCAACCCTAACTTTGTTTATTTTTGTTTTATTTTTTGTTTTATATTTAATGTTTTTCACAAGTACACTAGTACAAGAACTAACCAAACATCTCACTTTAAAGTTTAACAAAATTGGGTGATGTAACATCTCATTTAATAGTATAAAACTACTAAACAATATGATAATCAACAAGCCGAAGAGATAATCATACAACTAGTATAGTACAGTCATCCATAAAGCATGTACTGAATATATAGAGAGTTATATATACGTAATAACACAAACTAGAGTTTTCAAAATAAAATGATTTACAACAAAATTTATATCATAAACAGGTTATTAAATTGCCCTCACCCTACACAGGATCAGTTGGAATATCTTCATCTGCTCACAAAGTTAAGGTGACCATTGTAAACAAGATGAAAACATAAACAAACAAAACAAAGGAAAGGGCAAACTAATGTGCAAAAGATTTAATCTAAAGAAAAATAGTCATAATACATCAACTTATCACTAGACATGTATAACATACCACAATTCACTTAATCATACAAATAGTGGATACAAAACTCAATTATTTAGATATATGCCTTTGATGAAATCATAAGGAAACACTAGAGGGGGGGGTGTTTAAATAGTGTTTCTTAAATATTCTGCAAATCAACTAGATGTTTGTGTTTTAAGCAAGCATTTAGGAAAATATTTTAAGTAAGAGAAACAATAACACAAGTATTTTTATATTGGTTCACTCAATCCTGAGCTAGGTCCAATCTCCCTCAAGAACTTGAGAGGTATGTTTTTTAAATAGTGTTTCTTAAATATTTCACAAATCAACACTTAATAAGTATTCCAGGGGTTAAACGATCTACAACAGTTGTTAGACGTTTGTGTTTTAAGAAAGCGTTCAGGAAAACGTTTTAAATAAGAGAAACAATAACACAAGTATTTTATACTAGTTCACTCAATCATGAGTTATGTCCAGTCTCCCTCAATAACTCTTAAGAGGTTTCACTAATCTTTGTATCCAAGATTACAACCGAGTGCAAACCACTCATGGTATACACCGAGTATTCTTATCACTCTTGGTCCCCGAGTATTATAACCGTTCCTAGTATCCGAGTATGATAAATCACTATTGATTCCCTTAGTCAATCCTGACTAGTTTGAGTTTACCCATTCTTGCTTTCCAAGTATTATAATCACTCCTAGTATACACTGAATATTGTCAACTATTGTTGGTTTCCCTAGTCAATCCTTAATAGTACGTTTAGCCCAATACAAATGATTTAATACAAACATAATCAATTTTTGATTACAAATACATATTTGAGTGACTCTCAACGAGAGGATCAATACAATACAATACAATCTGGAATTCATTATGATTGAATTATTTATGATTTGTCGGCTTCCAATTCCAAAAGAGATGGAGGCATAGACTTTTTGAAAGACAAACAAGCCCTTCAGCGTCTTACGGAGACAATAGAGAAACCTAAAATGGAAATCTCATCATTGACTCAAGCTAACATTAGTTTACCATTCATTACTCCTACAACAGATGGTCCCAAACATATCGAGGCAACCCTCACAAGGACTAAATTCAGGAATTTTGTTCAGATCTTCTTGGTAGGCTCAAGACATCAGTTGATAACTCAATGAAGGATGCCTCAACTTCTTGTTTTAGTGAAAGGCAAGAATGAAGCCCACAACGACCACAATCTAAAATGGTATCAGAGCCCATGGTTCAAGTCTGGTGACCGAGCTCAAACGAGTACGTCCATCCATGATCAGGTGAAGCCTTGGTAAGTGGTTGGCAGATAGCCAGATGAGTCATGAGAGGTGGAGAGCAAGAGATGTTTAGTGTTTGACCATGGATCATGAAAGAGAGCAAAGAGAAGTGTTGACCATGGTGTATTCGAGGATAAGAAAAGACTTCTACTGTAGGGGAGGTGGAG